TTTCTGTCATCAAAGAAACATATTTCACAGTTTTCTTTTTTTTTGGGTAATTGCAAAAATACCAGTTTTGGTGTGTACATTTGCAAGAATGCCACTTAGGAGTGTCTATTTACAAAAATGCCACTTAGTGGTAATTATGGATTTTTAAACTCTAAATCTTCAAATTATAAATCCTAAAAAATGTATTGACCCCTAAAACCCTCAAAACTAAACCGTAGTACAGTATAGTTAACACAAACATAAATCATATAATGAATTTTGCTTTTGAAAAAATAGCATTTTTGCAATGATTTTTAAAAAATGGTATTTTTTAAAAATCGCATTTGAAAAGTAGTATTTTTTAAATTTCTCTTTTTTTCTAACATTTCACCGTTTACTTATCCTATCATTCTATACATATATAAAAAACGTAATTTTTATCTGAATATATGTTATATTCTGTATAATAGCATAATTTTTTGGGACAATTACTATGATAACTTCTTTTTCAAAAACCTTTTTCTATTATGATCACTATAGAATTTAGCCTGTTCTTGTTTCTTTCTCTTTTTGAAATTGAATTTAGCCTGTTCTTACTTCTTATTAGTCGATATATATATCAAATTACATGCCATGCAAAAAGTTTCAGCCCAAATACGAACGCGTGTATCTCACGAGAACCAAACGATCCAATATGGGAATATTGATTAATCCCGTCAAAGAAAGTAAAAAGTAGAAGATATTTTTTCTATCACCATCAACGACTCTTGATATTCATGGAGATTCTCAACAGGCTACGCACCAGAACGTCGAGGTGAGTGCAAAAGTGAATCAAACCATGTTTTGAATCGATCGATCTTGTTTGTTAGATTGGTTTTGTACGATTTATGTGTAATAATGAATTAGAATTCAAGGCGAACTAGTTTGATTCGAGTATTGCGATCATATGAAACTCACATTGATTGATTTAGATTAGCATGGAAATAGAGAATTCATACATAGTCTTATAACACAAATAGAAGTAAGTACATTGAAATCACTTTGTTTAGATTTTCTCTGTTTGTTTCTGGTTTTGGAACCTAGTTGGTTTCAGAGGAACCTGCACGATAAATACAATCCAGATGAAATTATAAGTTAAAAAGAAGTACTAAGGAAGCATCTTGATAATCTTGTTACATAACTTAGGCTATTGAGGTGTTTTGGTGGTTTGTTAATTGATTTGCATTGTCTTCAGGAGAGGGGATTACTATTTATGTTTTCTGAAGTAGTTTTTAATTTGCAATGGTAAAGTCAAGAGACATGGAACATACTATCATCATGTGGGACTTTGATTTTCATTTGCTAAAAGACAAATAAAAAGTTGGATGATAGGTTTTTCAGGAAATTGATTTTTTTTTTGTAATGAATATAAAAATATGCATGGAGATAATGGCCTAATGATCATCAATTTCAAGAACTTGACAAAACTAGCTTTTGTATTTCTCTGTTACTAGATTTGCTTTTTGGCAATTTACATAAATAGGAAACAAATATATGAGATCATTAAGATAGATTTATAATTTTCGTTTTTCTTGCATGATTGGCTTGAATAAGCAAATCTAGGTAGACAATGAAACAAGATATAGGCACATAAGAAACTAGAGATTGCAAGTCTACTCTTTAAGATGATAATGCTTTCTTATGCATATTATTTGTTGTGATATGCACCTTTTAGAGTAGCTTAAATGCTTTTTAGTTTCCATTTGAACGGTAATTGGGATGCGGATAACGCCCTGATTCAATGTCATTGACATCCCTAATGAGGAGCTCGTAGTGTCGCCTTACTTCTTCAGCTGATTTGCCACCAACTGCTCTTGCAACGTTATGCCAACGGTCAGGAGTGTCTTGGTCATATATAGCCAAAGCCCTTTCAAATAGTTTGTTCTCCTTACGTGTCCAAGAAGCGCTTGAGCTCATGGAGTTGGAAGCCATTTAGCGAATATGTATGTATATTGAGAGTAGAAGATCGAAAAAAAAAGGCTTTTGAGAATGGAAATCTGGTTTCTTAGGAGGGAGTAAAAGAAGGAATAGAAGGTGTATGTATAACTTGATGGTAAAAGGAGTTGATTTGGTTAGTTAAGAGAGTGAGAAGCTCCTTATATGTAGGAGGAAAAAAGCATGGTGTGGGGTTAAGCCAGTTGGAAGAATATATACTTTTAAGAGTGACTATTTCTTTTAACAACCACATAAAGTCTTAGAGAAGGTACACAATTGTGAAACAATCCAATGAAACCTAAGATTCCTTGAACAAAATATTAGAGGCTTCCTTCATTTTTTTTTTCTTGCTACTATCCGTACAGTAGAGACTAAGGCAGTAACCATGCTCTAAGAATTCTCTTACCTCTTTAAGGCTTTTGATGTGATCTAGTCATCTTATCATCATTATAAGATTGTAGTATCCGATGCTTATTTAGACACATGAGATTGTTAGATTATGTTTGATGCTTTCTTATGATTTCCATCCATTTTGATTGCGAAAAATCTGTTTATACGATAGGTTCTCTGTTTAGTGATATATCATTTCAGTCTGTCGAAGCATAAAAGAAATTACACTTACTTCTTTCACCGATTCTTGCCTTTCTTGTTCTCAAGGCTCTTATAACAAATTTGGTGATGTTTATTACATTGGCTCGTGTTGAGTATCTTTTGACAAGGACACAAACTCGTGCAGCCCTTATTAGTGAATATCAAACCCTTTATACTTATACTAGAATAGACTCCACGTTAATATGTGGGTGAACACATTAAAAATAAATGAAATAAAAAAAATTAATTTTAATTAGTAACCTGTTGAATTTTAAAGTATTATTTAATGTAGATTCTAACACCAGTAGAAGTCACTTTATATCAATATCTCATGTTTTAATCCATATCATGTAAATCCAAAAATAATCGGAATTTGCATCATATTCGATTATTTTAATAACACAAAAGTATATATTTTTAATTATATTTTTTTAAAATACACAAAAATATATACATTAAAAACTATATATAATCGGAATTTATATCATATTATTAATAACACAAAATATATATTTTAACCTATTATGAATATTTACGAATTTTATGATAGAAATAAAAACAATTAAAATACTATATAGTTAAATCAGAAAAAGTAAAAATTTTGTTAGTTACCTCATAAAACTACAAATCATGTTGTAAACCATTACAAAAGTATATGATTGATAATTGTATTTTATTAATGTTATCATTTTATTTCTCATAAAATTTTAAACTCGCCAAACTTTATACAGTATTAACTTCATAGTAAATATAATATTATTATTTTTTAACTTACATAATTTTCAATATATAGATTTGAAGAGTACCAATGGCGTCATAAATAAAAAAATTCCATTTTCTTTGTGATATTCTATAACTCTATTTTGATAATAAGTATTTTTATAGATTATTTTTATTAATTTATTTTTGCATGGTTATGTATATCTTTAAAAAATTAAATTGAGGTTTCTACAACCTTTATAACTTTTGTATTTCCAATTTATATATTTTTTTTTTCATTCCTTTTTCTAAATCTTATACTATCATTTTTATTATGTATGTATTATATGATTCTTTTATATAATGTTTATATTTTATCTTAATTTCTTTTTCTGAATTAGTATGGACAGTATTAGAAATTTTACTTTTTATTATTTGATTACTAACTTGACAACTATTTTCCATTTTAAATCTTATTTTTCTTAATTAATTTTAAGTTTTAACATATTAATCATCTTATCAATCTTATTATTAGATACATGTCTTGATCTCGTGAGTTATAATTTTGTTTACGTATCATGCTTATATAAAAATGCATTGCGGTAAATACTTTTGATTTTAAAATTTATAACGCCTATAATTTGACAAATGTAATTAGATTCTAAATTATAACTCGCATAAA